TTTGACCTTGTGGTGCATACTCATGATGCACAACCCCACAGGATTTGAAGAAAACGGCCAACATGACCTTGACATTGCTGCGGACCTGCCATGCTTTTTTTGGCCTTGGGGATGTTGGATGTTTCCACTGTGACGACTGCATCTTGGTTTCTGGGTCATACCCATAAACCCATGACTCATCGCCTGTGATCATGGTGTTCAGAAAGTTGGGGTTACTGTTTGCATTGTCCAGCATGTCCTGTGCGATTTCCAGACGGCGTTGCTTCTGCTCCATTGTTAGCAGTTTCAGTACGAATTTCGCGGACACTCTTTTCATGCCCAAATCCTCGGTCAAAATTGAATGTACCGATCCAATGCTTACCCCTATCTCGTTCGCAAGTTCTCGGACTGTGATACGACGGTCCTCCATGACCAAAGTCCACACTTGCTCAGTGACATTCTCATTTCGGCTTCTTGAGGGTCTGCCTGAACGTGGTTTGCTGTCCACTGATGTGCGGCCATCTTTGAAGCGGTTGTACCACTCCTTTATCTGTGAGTTGCTCATGGCAGCGTCCTCGAAAGACTGTTGAATCATGCGAATGGTTTCCACTTGGGTATCACCAAGCTTTTGGCAAAATTTGATGCAATATCGCTGCTCATGTTCCATCATTTTACACCTTACTGGAATCCGACGAGCGCTCACTACACGTCTTCACTCATAGGCCGACTGCCAGCGACTGACGCTTTCTGCGGGCAGGAAAAAATTCATGACTGCACATGAATGTCCCCTCCACATCTCCACCGAAGGGAGACTCCCACGCTTCATTGGTTTACGTGGGAAAAAAGAAGGTTCGATACTTTTGAAACACACCACATATTCAGCGGCTGCTATATTTGAACTGTCTTTGGCTCTCAGCTTATGTAGGTGTTCGGCGGACTCAGTAGAGACACCCCTCGCCAAGGTTCGATCTCACGTGTTCGGCAATCCATTGCTTTGGGAACGCTCCTTATACACTGGTAACGTGTTTCGTCTCATCCGTTGTTACTCAACGGGCCTTCTGTTGTTCATCTCTGGGTAAACATGTTCGTTGTTTCGGCATTGTCTACGCAACGGCTCATTGTTATTGTGTTACCATGGAATTGCCTATTCCAAACACGTTACAATATGTTTATTTTATTAGGACAGACTTTAAAATGGGTGGAATGACACCAGTGTTTCTTTTATTTTCATGAAGTTGAATGTTGGAAATTGGGCAAGTTCCCATTGTCAGAACTTAAAAAGTGAAGTGGTAATAAAAAGCAATAAGTTTGAGTTCACATAAAATTAGTTCATTTTTAACACTGTTTATTTGCATTTGAAATGGAAATATGTGTATACAAATAAATACAGGTAGGATTTTTACTTTGTTGACCAGTTCCATGGCTCTGCGCTTCATGACGGTCAGAGCGCCGTTTGCCACAAGGCACATACAGATTTTACCAGTGAATCAGCATGCCTGATGGCTGATAACATTTGGGATGAAGTAGTTACAATTCACAGATCACAGGAGGTGTTGAAAATGCTATCCTACACTTAGACAGTTCTTGCACCAGCAGAAGAGGTTCTCATTTACCCTTTGAAGTTGTTCTGCAGGAATATTTGCAATTTCCCTGTTAATATTTTCTTTTAGTTCTTGCATTCAGGGGTGTTATTGTTGTGAACTTTGTCCTACAAACAACCCCAGGAAAATGAAGAAAGCAGTCTTCTGGGATTTGGCACCGTGTATAAGTGGTGTTAACCGACGTTTCGGAGGAACGTATCGCCTCTATCTTCAGGGTAGAAGAAAAAGTATAAGAAATCTGCAAGCGACAAGACCGTGAGAACGGTAAAAGCAGACGTCAGACCACATATACACGGTGCCAAATCCCAGAAGACTGCTTTCTTCATAGTCACCGCCGTGAAAGCCTCAAATCTTACAACCCCAGGAAAAATCGCAAGGGATAAGATCGTGTGAACATGCTGGCCAATTCTGTCCCCGTAGACATTGGACATTAGGCATACTGATTCATCAGCAAAATTCTTATGTGCCTCACAGCAAGCAGTCACTTTGAAGCACAGAACTGTAAACTGATCAACAGAGTTAAAAACTCTGTGTACATCAGTGCAACAGGATGCTTAAATACAATATGGGTTTGAATGGCATCAGCTGAGAAGTGTATCAGATGCAAAGCAGTTTCAGTCTGCAATGCTCATCATGGAACAGTGTTTCAGTATTTAAAATTAATTTATATGCACAAATCTTCATCATGTTATAGAAAATCTGTCAGTCATAGTGGAAACTTATGTTTATGAAAGATTGTAATATTTATCAGTTTATTTAGAACATTTACTGTTACACCTTCCATAACCACTCTTGAAATCTTTTCTCTGCTTCTCGTTACTTCATGTGACACCACTGCTTACTCACTTCACTTACCATTTTCTTTCTACTTCTCTTCACTGTACTGGACAGAACACTCACTGGCTTACTGCATTGACTCTCCTTACTCAACTGCTGTGTGCTGCACTGAACTGGACTGAGTGACATATTCCACATCCTACAGTCATTTTGACTAACTTTGGATCCATGGAATGCAATGCAATGTTATGTTACTTGTATAGATGGGTTACCTTTCGTGGGATTCCCAGGTAATCTTGGCATTTGGTGTCAGCTTAGCGGCTTTCTGAGCTGTCCAGATGATTGAGCTTTGCATGCAGGCCACACAGTGTGGCACTCCCCCCATTCAGCTTCCGTGACAATATGAACAGTTATTTTATTTTTAATAGGATCAGACGTTACTACCATGAAGTTAACTAGTACATTGACCACGCCATAGCACAAGCGGTTAGTCACTGGCTTCCCACCGCGGCAGCCCGGGTTCGAGCCCGCGTCAAGTCAAGTGGGATTTGTGGTGGACAAAGTGGCCCTGGGGCAGGTTTTCTCCGAGTACTTCAGTTTCCCCTGCCAATCTTCATTCCAGCAGTTGCTCCACAATCACCCTCACCTATCATCTGGGGCTGGTACAACAGGCCAGAAGTGGCCGCAGTACAAGAGACTTAGTCCCACCCCACTAGCAATAAAAAAAAATAACTAGTGCATTTGAGCATACTAATTCCTTCAAAATTTTTTATTTTTGTGTAATAGAGATATATACTGCTGTATCTCTAACATCATCTACTTTTCTTGGAGCATTTCTGCTTTTTGTTCTTGTCTGATCTCCTGGTTTTCATTTTTATTCTTTCGTGTTTTTTTTTTTCTTAATATTTCACAGAAGCTTTATCTCTGCACTGTCCAGAATTGCTTAGTGTAGTCAGAATAATTGCAATATATTGTTAAACATTTATTTATAATATAAGAGTTGACATTAGTTGCTGACACTTTTCTTTTTCTTGTGTGTTTCAGATTGTGTTACAGATGGAAAGGACAAGGAAGATAGTACTAATATAGTGAAACCATGGGTTGGCTATCCTTTGAAGCCGAAGAAGGGCATGGATGATGATTTTGTTTCTGTGAGCATTTCAGTTGTTCAGGATGATGGACCAGCGCCAGTTGCATCAGAACGTGAGGACAAGGATGTAGTGACAGTAACTCGAATTCCACAGGGCAGTGGTAAAGAGAAGCCACTCCAGGATCCAATAAGCAGTGCTCATAAGTCATGTATTAGCAGTGATGAAGGTGTCATTCAATCCAAATTTACTGCATCAGGAGAGAAACAGATACCAGACGAAATCATAACTGTTCTGGACACTTCGCAGGTTATTCCAGTGAAAACTGACATATGTGAAAGGCAAGTCGATCATACAGTTAAAAAGCGTGTTTTCCCTAGTTTGCCTGGCAGCTCTGAAAAAGAAGTAAATTGCATGTTACCAGAAAAGTCAGCTCCCATTAGCCTTTTAAAAAAGTCAACGGATGCATCCATAGAATTCATTGAACCTCCAAATATGCAAGGAAAGATCAAAACAGAGGGAACCAAAAGGAAGGCAGAGTTTGGCAGTATTGTAGTGAATGAACCACAGAAGCCCACATTGAAATCTCTTGATGTTAAAGATACTGTTCCAAACTCAGGTGAGAAGCGAAGTAACTGTGATGAAGAGACTGATACAGGAGGTAGAGTTCCAAGTTTGGATGTCATATGCTATACTGTGATGCCTTCTCAAAGAAAGAGAACCCCCGTTTGTGTTGACAACAAGAGGACTGGGGCATGCACTTCTCTTGGGGTGAGACTTGCTGCAAACATTGAAGCCGCAGATCCAGTAATTGATAATTTACAAAAATTCAAATTGAAACAACAGAGGTTTGATGTAAGTTCATCTGGAAATATCATACTGACCAGTAATGAAAATAATGTAGATAGCAGTCCTTCCAAAAATGTACAAATCAATGAGGTGAATAGGAGTCTACAAAATCATGTAAAAGATGCAAATATTCGTGAAAAAAATGCCATAAAAAATTTATTCAGTGATTTGCCTAAAGTAGTGAGTGTAAATGAAACAGACTCCATCAGCTCTCCATCTTTAAAGAAGGACGTTCATCAAGGAAGAAGTTCAGACTTCAAGTATGCTTATGATAATTCTACATCTAGATTGGTTCCTGCCACTGTTTCTTCAGGAAATAAAGTGGGATACCACATCGTAACAAACAGCCAATGTGGAAGAAGTGGAAATGCCCTATCTTGTTCAAATGTTGCAATGAAGACAGCAGTGGGTCAAAATGAAACTCTCACCCCTGTGTTTGTGGCTGTTGTATCATCAGCAAGTACATATGCAGCAGGAACCACCAACAGCATCAGTGCCCCAAAAGTGAATATCGTGGCTGCTGTATCATCAGCAAGTACATATGCAGCAGGAACTACCAACAGCATCAGTGCCCCAAATGTGAATATCATGGCTGCTGTATCATCAGCAAGTACATATGCAGCAGGAACCACCAACAGCATCAGTGCCCCAAAAGTGAACATCGTGGCTGCTGCATCATCAGCAAGTACATATGCACATGCAGCAGAAACCACCAACAGCATCAGTGCCCCAAAAGTGAATATCGTGGCTGCTGTATCATCAGCAAGTACATATGCACTTGCAGCAGAAACCACCAACAGCATCAGTGCCCCAAAAGTGAATATCGTGGCTGCTGTTGGAAGCAGTAATCTACAGACTAACCAAACTGGACCTCAGGTAGGAAATAGCAATGATGTAACAGCTGTGTAGAATAGATAACATCAGATAGCATGGGAAGAGGAGAGGAAGTAGGCTATCATTTTTATATGAAGATGCTCTCTCAATATTTTTATTGAGAGATCAAGGAAAGTTATGAATAGTCTTGGTCAGTATAGCCAAGAGTCAAACTAGATAGCTCCCAAATAGATGTCTAGTACTTTTTCACTATGCTGTCAAGCTTAGTGAAGCAGTGGTGTGTGAAATATACTGAAAAGAAGGAAGTATTTGTGCTGAATATAGAAAATAACATCTTAAGCCTTAACCATTTCAATCTACAGTGCTAGTGTATTATGCTAATCGTATCATCAGTTAAGAGGGTAGAGTTCATTAGTGATAGGATATCATATTTAATACTAAAAGGTCGCTGGTGTGATATCATTATGAATGTTCATGCCCCAGCAGAAGATAAAATTGATGATATAAAGGATAGATTCTATGAAGAACTAGAACATGTACAGTGTGTACAATCAAGTGCACGCCGCGGCTGCAATTTGCCGTGAGTCATACCACCGCAGAACGGATGCAGTCGCGGGGAGGAGTTGCAACTNTCAAAAAATCTTACTGTCAAAAGTACAATGTTCCCACATTGTTACATCCATAAATTTACTTGGGCATCTCCTAATGGGAAGATACACAATCAAATCGGCCATATTTTGATAGATAGGAGATGGCACTCAAGTATACTTGATGTCCGATCATTCAGGGCAGCAGATTGTGATACTAACCAATACCTGGTGGTGGCAAAAGTTAGGGAAATACTGGCAGTGAGCAAAAAAACACACACAGTTCATATGGAGAGGTTCAATCTCAAGAAATTAAATGAAGTAGAGGGTAAAGGTATCATGTTGAAATTTCAAATATGTTCACTGCTTTGGAAAACTTGGACACTGAGGTGGATGTTAATAAAGCTTGGGAAACTATTAGAGAGAATATCAAAATTTCTGCCAAGGAGAGTCTAGTATGAACTGAAGAAGCATAAGCCATGGTTCGATGAAGGATGCTCAGAATTATTAGACCATAGAAAACAAGCCAAATTGTAATTGTTACAGGATCCAAGCAAAATAAATGGGGATAATCTGAACAATATAAGACGTGAGACCAGCAGGCATTTCAGGAATAAAAAAAAAGGGAATATCTGAAAGACAAAATTGATGAGCTTGCAATGAGCAGTAAAAACAAGAACATTAGAGACCTGTATAGAGGAATAATAGACTTTAAGAGAGGTTACCAGCCTAGCAGTAACTTAGTGAAGGATGAGAATGGTGATCTGCTTTGCAGATTCCCACAACATTTTGAATAGATGGAGGAACTACTTCTCTCAGTTATTGAATGTACATAGGGTCAGTGCTGTTAGGCAAACATAAATCCATACAGCTGAGCCATTAATACCTGATTCTAGCCCTTTTGAGGTTGAAAGTGCTATTGCAAAATTGAAACGGTATAAATCGCCAGATAGTGATCAAATTCCGGCAGAATTTATTCAAGCAGGAGGCGAAATATTACGTTCTAAGATCCACAATCTAATTACTTCTATTTGGCATAAGAAAAAATTGCCTGATCAGTGGAAGGAGTCTATTATTGTACCAGTTCACAAGAAAGTGATAAAACTGACTTGTAATTATCTGGGTATACCACTGTTATCAACTTCATACAAAGTTTTATCCAGCATTCTTCTCTCAATGTTAAGTCCATACATAGATGAAATCATTGGGGATCATCAGTGTGGGTTTTTGACATAACAGATCAACTACAGATCAGATCTTTTGCATTTGTCAGATATTGGAGAAAAAATGGGAGTACAATGAGGCAGTACATCAGCTACTTGTAGACTTCAAGAAAGTCTGTGATTCAGTTAGGAGGGAAGTATTGTACAATATTCTGATAGAGTTTGGGATACCCGTGAATCTAGTTAGGCTGATTAAAATGTGTTTAAACGAAACATAGTAAAGTCCATATAGATAAAAGTTTGATAAATTTCCTATCCAGAATGGTCTAAAAGAAGGAGATACTTTATCGTCACTCCTATTCGATGTTGCTTTAGAATATATCAGGAAGGTCCAGGAAAACCAGGTGGGACTGAAATTAAATGGGACACATCAGCTGTTGGTGAATGCTGATGACATGAATCTACTGGGTGATAATATAGATACCATAAAGAAAAACACAAACTTTAATTGACGCAAGTAAATAGATTGGTCTAGAAGTAAACACAGAGACAACTAAACATGTGTTGCTGTGTCATCACCAAAATGCAGGGTAAAATCATGACATGAAGATAAGTAACAGATCCTTTGAAAATGTGGCACAGTTCAGATATTTGGGAACAACAATAACAAATCAAAACCAGATTCAGGAGGAAATTAAGAGGAGATTGAACTCAGGTAATGTTTGTTACCATTTGGTCTAGAAACTTTTGTCTTCTCATCTGCTGTCCGAAAACAAAATTTATAATATACAAAACTATAATTTTGCCTGTGGTTCTGTATGAGTATGAAACTTGGTCTCTGACATTAAGAGAGGAACATAGACCGAGGGTGTTGAGAATATTTGGACCGAAGCGAGATGAAGTGACAGGAGGTTGGAGAAAAATGCATAATGAGAAGCTTCATAACTTGTACTCTTCTCCAAGTATAGTTAGAATGATGAAGTCAAGGAGGGTGTGGTGGGTAGGGCATGTAGCATGAATGCTGGAGAAGAGGAATGCATATAGGATATTGGTGGGGAAGCCAGAAGGAAAGAGACAGTTTTGAAGACCAAGGCATAGGTGGGTGGACAATATTAGAATGGATCTTTGGAATGGGATGGTATGGATTTGATTGATTTGTCTTAGGCTAGGGACCAGTGGAGGGCTCATGTGAACATGGTAATGAACCTTCAGGTTCCATAAAATGCTGAGAATTTCTTGTGTAGCCGCAGAATTGGCAGCTCCTCAAGAACATCTCAGCTCCATGAGTAAGTAAGTAAGTATGTAAGTTCATTGTGCCATAAGCTGAGTTTTTGTTACATGAGGGCATCCCTTGATTTACACAAGTAATTTGTTCCATGAAAACTGTTCACATAATGAAAATTTTGTAAATCAAAATTGAAATTCCCATTACTTTGCATGTAATAGTCACTAGGCTTGTGGGTATAAGCTGTTAGTTGTAGTGAAAAGGAAGTTTGTTAAGTGAAAAATATGTACAGTTAACACAGTTTGTTGTAGTGAAAATTTGTAAATCAAATGTTTGTAAAATGAGGTATACCTGTATTTAAATCTTAAAATGTTACTGTAGCAGTTTTGTGGGCATGGGAGCCACGCGTTGGTCACCACTTATTGCAGTCGTCGTGTGGGCACACTGAAGCCACATGTGGGGAGTCACCTATAACAATGGGCTTATAGGCACACTGGAGCCATGCGTTGACCACCACTTACAGCAGTCATACTGTGCGCACGCTGAAGCCACGTATGGGGTTAAGGTGAACGCCTCTGTTCACTGTAAATCACCTTATAGCGACTCTGGAGGATCAGGCGAAGACGTAGCCTCTCCTTTTTGTAGTAGATGAGCGATCCTGATGTTCTGTAGTATGATGTCTTGGGCGCCACTCAGTTGGGAACATGAGACTTTCACAGGGTTGTTAAGTGGGCCTTAGCTTCAACAAGGCGGTCAACAAAAATCAACGACAAATTCACAAACACTTACACTTTATTTAATCTTAAATATTCACATTGTTAATAACACTTATGATGGCTTTGTGTACTCCTTTGTTCCCTTTTTCAGGGAGTGACACGGTTATGCATCTTAACGTTTTGAGTGCTGGGCTTTGTCTGTTCTGAACAAGGGAAAAAGCGTATCACGCCACTGGCTGTTAGCATGATGTCATTTGGTAACTAGCGTTCCTGATTGGCTGTACCCTGGGAAGTACCGCACAAACTGCTTATGAAGCTTGCATCATGTTTTACTGAACAAAGGAAGAACCCCTGAATTATCAGCTTTATAAGAAGTCATGCGGCAATTACATTATCCCCACTTAATGTATAGCCCATGACATAATACAGCACGTGATGATCTACGCAATTCCAGAAATTCATAATTTAAGTCTTGCAAAAATACAGTAATTATAAAAAAAATAAATGTATACATAAATTAGGTGAAGTATATTATTAAAAGGAGTAATTGGTTATATTACTGTGTTTGAAGGGACACGATTCCTATACTTGATACTGACACGAAACTATCTTGTACAATTTTCTCTTGAATTATTATGCAAGAAAATATTCTCAATACGTGTTTATTGTTTCAGTTTGCATCTGGTGTTGGTTCCTCTCCAGGTCATACTGTACACCTGTTGCAGCCTCTCACCACTAGAAGACTCTGTGTTTCAGGAAACAAGTTGCTCAGTTTTCAGAGGAATAAGAATAATCAGTACATGCTGTGCAGTGGAAACCAAATGTATGCAGCACATCTGCTTCCAGCACCTGTTCCTACACAAAAATCACCGTCATCAGTGGTTACCAAGTATACAGATTCCAGTAGCAGTATAAATAAAGATAGTGTCCCATTGCTTACAGTTCCAAGGCCAAATACCAATCTTATTGTGAACTGCCCCCCCTTGGTGAAACATTCTGTTAGTAATCCTCCACAGTCATCAGAATTGAGTACAAACTCTGCAAATCACAATATAAAAATAAAACACTTACTACCTAATGCGTGTCCTACTTTTATACCTGACAAACTGAGAACACCATCTCACAATGTGATATCTGTTAATGATGTGCATACCACCACCAACGTTCCAGGGTTGACTTTAATGACTCATACAACTCATACAAACTCCACTGCATCTCGTACTTTGACACCAGATGTTGTCAACACAACACAGAGTAAACCCATAGTCTCTGTTCGAAATTCAAATTCATATGCAACCACCATAATACCTAAAAGATTAGAGTCATCGCCAAGTTCTCCAGCTTTCATTTCTCTTGCAAGAAAATTGCCTTCTGCCACTTTTGAAAGTGTTAAAAAGGATCCTACAGTTTGCCTGAGAACTGTTGCTTCTAACAATGCGGTAAGCAAACTAATGACAACTCATACAAAATCAGTGGAACCAAGGTCAGTTAATATGAAAGTGACATCGCCTGTGGCTACTAGAAAAATTTTCATGTTAGATGTTCGTTTAAAGGTTCCGTGTAGTAGCAATAGGGTGTCTAGTGGTAATGGTGTAGGCAAAGAGAAAAGTGAAATATCTCAAAATGACTGTGTTTCCAGTGTTAGAATATTACGTGAGAAATCTGAAAATGACATTTCCAGTCCTAAGGACTCTGATGAAAAATCTCAGGATGAAAGTGTTTCTGGTGATACAACATCAGATAAGAAATCTCCATATGAAATTTCTGGTATTATATCAAATGAGAAATCTCATAAGGACAATTCCCGTGTCAGAACACCAAAGCAGAAGTTACAACACAACAGAATTTCTTGTACTCGATCGTCTGGTAGAACGACGCACAAATCTGCAGTACCTTCGCCAAAGCAAGATTGTCATACCACTTCAAGTCGTGAATCTAGAGCCAAGGCTCGTGAAGACACTAGAAGTATGGCAAGAAAAAAAGTAAGATCAGGTTCTAAAGCCAAAATGACCAAGGCTCCAGTAGAAATGATGGTAACAAGAAGTAGTAGTAGAAAGAAATGGATGTATGGAAGGAAGTCTTGTACATAATTGTAAATAAATACACCTTGTAAGTTTTCAAAAATATGAGCTGTTAAAGGTACATTAATATACAATAATCTCTGAAGAAGAATAACTGTTTTGTATGTTCTCTGGTTTTGAATATAGTGAATGTTTTTTTACAAAAATGTCTCCTAGAGGAATTCTGATTTATGATGATATATTAGCATACTGTTGATATACAGCACCCAGAAATGTTTCCAGATTGTCACTTACAAACTTGGTATCCTTTTATTTATAATAAAACCAATTTCTTATGTTAATATAAACTGTGCCATGTCATGCTGTCAGCATTATAGATGTACTATTTTTGTTTATTCTAAGTATTAGTTCTTATAAAAGATGCAACTCTGTCATCAGCTACAAACAGAATTTTACGAGGCATAATCTGGACTGTGGTTGTCATGTAGGGTTTAGTTTCTTCCCAGTTATTTCTTGGATTCTGAGATTCTGAGGGTTATTTTTATATAAAGAAATAAAAAAGAACCCAATCAAATGCAAAGTACTCACTGAAGAAAAATTGGTGTTAGGCTTGAACACTCCATATAAACATCTCTTAGACATTGTGCACAGGATATCAGGGTTTCAAGTTTACTCTGCTTCTAGAAAGGGACTTCAAGTGCATGTAAGTTGAACATTTTTTAGTTGCAAAGAATACAGACACAAAAAAAAGATCCTTTCTCTAAACAGAGTGAACTTTAAGTCTTGGTGTCATGTATACGAGTAAAGTGCCTAAGGACAAATCACACACATTCAGATCTAGAGAATGTGATGGTCAGTCCTCTACTGATTATTTGGTCATTGAAAACCAGCCCAGAGCACTCGCTTTCTGTGTAATATGCAGTGAATTGTCCTACTGAAGAGAAAGACAACTCATTTATTATAATTGATTCTGCTTGAAGTAGCAAGGATCATATGGGATGTCTCACTCGGTACATGGAGAGACAACCACATAAATTTCTATAACAGATATTTATTGCTGTTAAAAGAAAGAGTATACAGAGAAGCAATCAAGTGAAGTGAGTGGTAACTGGTGAGGTATTGTGGGGCCCTGAAAAGGGCCATAACTATTAAGCAGGGTGTACCTGATTAATTCTGGTGAGACTCTGGCCACAGCACGCTAGCTTGTGCTAGGAACATCGACCTTCCTTGCATTGGCAGCCAGGTGACTATGAGCTGGCTAGTCTTCCTTGCGTCAGCAGCTGAGAAATGAAGCGGCCATAGGGCAGTGAGCATTGGTGGTGGACTTCTCAGTGGGTCTAGGCAATCACAAGCAGAGTCAGCTGATGGAGTTGCTGCTAGGAGACTTGCTGTTGCCATGTGTATGCTCTCCTGATGAGATGTCTTGATGTAAGAGCAGCTCCGACTGACATCTTTATTCGCTGTCACTAGCAATGCCCGACCCAATGGTGATTGGTACTGCTGTGGTTGGCGCTGATTGGCTAGTGTTGTAGGCTCCCACCACCATTCAGAACTAACTGGGCCACAAACAAGTACTGAACCTTCTAGTGCTTACAGCACAGTTGCACCAACTTCTTTGGTCATGTAATGGGATCTGCAGATGACATGGATTTTCAGTGTCCCAGTGATAGATTCTTGTTGCCAGGTTGTCCTGAGACGAGTTTCGGAAGACGATTATGGAGACCCTGGGTTTAGGATACAGGGTGATGGAAGATTTTTTACACATTGGTTTGTTGAGGCAACCATCATAAAGATTTATGTGGACATGTTTCTCAACATACTCCAATATTGTATAGTGTTCCCTCTGTAAGAACATGTCACATCTGACAAAAGATATATTCAGTTTGGCAGCATGGTTCCAAGGAAAGAATAGGGTTGTTTCAGAGCATTAAAGGTATCATCTGTGCCCAAACCTTACTCTGGGTAGGCAAACCAGGACAGATTGAAAAAACTAACTGGTATGTGTTATTGTCTGTTCATTCCAGGATGTGTAACACACTGGGGAAATCATGATGTGTGCCCATCAGAACGTTTCTACTTGAGAAGCGCTAATTGATTTTGATGAAACCTGATATGAACATTAAGCAATTCTGGGTGGCCCCAAGCCCATAATTCTTAATCTCTGAGGTGGAAATAACACTTGTGACACTTCAGAACTGCAGGAACCACAGCAGTCTTAACATTTTCATCATAGCTGTTTGTAATAGCTAACTGTACCATTCAGAATGCCTTGGTGCAAAGAATGTATGTCTAGAAGATGTGCTTCAGAAGGTATCCCACATTTCTAGTCTTTCTTCTGACTCTGGGCCCAATCAAGCACTTGAACAAAGACGAATCACAGGGTGTGACGTATTTTTAGAATCAGACTTACTTTACAACTGGTGGTTTACCACCAATCAGTTCATTTTGGCACCAAGCCCCTTGAGACCCATGACCAGTCCCCACCCCAATGGAACATTTGCAGTTATAGTCCTTATGTAACACTCTCTGGTGAAAGGATGGGTCTGTCATTTGACTTTAACTCCGTGTTCTCTGCAAATTGCAATGTGGTCTCACTGCAGGTAAGTGGTGTCAGCACTGGGACATAAATATTAATGGAGGGAGAACTCGGGCAAACTGTTTCTCCAGAAGACTTAGTCCCTGAGGACATATACAACTAAATGGATGGGACCTCTCTTTTGTAAATAAAGTACTTTACCTTGATGTCACCTTCCATATTGAAAGGACTGCAGCCAAGGCCATACACACATACATAAGGTCCTATTACCTATTCAGAATTGAGCATTTAAGTACAACTATCAAGCTTGTGCTTTGCAAAGCTCTGGTTAGGTCAGTAATGACATGCCTAGCCAACCTGGGAGTATATGGCAGATGCTCACCTCTTGAAATTGCAGTGCCAGCAGAAAAGTTCTCTGCACAATTGAAAACCTTGACAGGAGCACAACAGTCTGTGAATTTTCTGTGTCTTAAAAATTTCTTATGTGTATGACTACATAACTAAATTATACAGGACAACAGCAGAAATAAATCCTAAACTACAGAAGTCAATTGTACATGGTGTTGAACAAGGAACAGCCATGCATAGGAAATATAAGAGTTTTAAACTTTGTGGGGGTCACGTCTACAACCATTCAGCTGACTAACTGCAGTTTCAGTGCAGTTAAATAGAGTACTACATGACCTAATGCACATGCCTGCATTGACAGAAATCCTCTGCATATCTTATACAAATGTTACTTCACATTGGCAAAGGCAATGGTAAAGTCCCAGTGCTTAACTAAATAAGGCATGTGGGGTGCCTTTAGCGGTGATTACATGCAACTAGTGATACCTGGAACACATGCATGAAGCTACTGACAGTAACAGTGAGGTGATAATGCTAAGCAAAGAATTGTGACACATGTTGATGAAGAAAGCATTGGTCTGGGAGGTGTGTGAGTGAAGTCTGTGCAGCAAAATATCATTATAAATTTTGCAGTATGGGAAACATTAAAGGTTGACATATGTACCTTGGATACAGGGAGCATATTTGAAAATATTTTTGAGACAGGAGTTATACAGCTAATAGGAAATTAAATCAACAAATATACAAAGCAGAAAATTTCAGGAAGTGCTGGTTCTTTGACATGTTGCTCTAGAATTAGTAAGTGGGAAGGCTCATTTCTGCAGGATGTGATGTGGCCCTGAAATGAATGCTGATGAACAAAACTTGAGCATGTTGTCAGACTAGTTGAACATCTTCTCAGGCCACACTCTCTGGATGGATACTTTGTATAATTATCCAGAGCTGGCTTGATTCTTGAAATCTAATAGCATAAACTGTATAGGTGCTTACATGCCAGTAGGAAAAATGCTCCCTCACTTGGTAAAGGATAAAAGAATTCAGAGGACATACCCAGCAGGCCCAGCAGTATAACACACGCAGTCACAGGAGCAAGACACAACACAAAGCACAATACACACACGGAAGTAGGAAGAGTGCTCCGATAGAAGAAGATAGGTGTGACTCGCGTATTAAGATAGACATAAGGATGACAAATCCTGAACAGTTTTAATATTTTTAATATTTAAAATTTATCAATATATATGATGAATATGTATTTTAGTATAAAGACAACAGGGCATGCAATGAAGTAGTTTGACGTACATCAAAAAGCACCTGAAGATGGCACTTTTGTGCTGAAACATGTAGTGCAAGAGAGAAGAGTAAGGTGAATAAATGTATGCACTGTAAGATGGATAGAATAAATCATGAATTCAGAGGATGTAGGAGCACAGGGCTGATAAAATAGGAAGAGAGTATCCATGATTTGTATATATCACAAGGAAGAACAGTATCTGCAGTTGTGTGTGAATATGATTTGAACAAATCCTGGGATTGACTCAGCCTCCAACAGAAGTGAGTACCAGAAATCTTCCTGGGGGAAGAGGGAGTGTAAGGCTGACAACCTTACCACCATCTGTGAGCCGACTGTCTAGAAGATGTGGGAGCCTTAATGTCTCACAACCCTATGGGGGCCTTTTAGAGTGATAGCTTTACCTTTCACCTTTCATGATTTGCACATGGGAGAAGTGGATCTCAAATGTCTGTTGCTACAGCCATGTTTAATCGAACAAAATAAAGGTTCCAAATGGTAATTTAAAGTATTCATAAGGTTACTCAGTATAGCTGAGCATGATTCAGTCGCGGGGAGGAGTTGCAACTCCTCCCCGCGACTGCATCCGTTCTGCGGTGGTATGACTCACGGCAAATTGCAGCCGCGGCGCGCACTTGATTGTACGCACTGTATTATCCATGCCAGACATTTCATGCTCTTCCCAGTACAAGGTTTTTTTTTAGAAACACAGATGTGCTGTCCCTCGCTATGTATATGGCCAGCCTTCACCTGAACTGCTACCAAAAAGACTGTCTGAATATAAATTCCTTGAATAAATACTTGCCACAGGAAGAAGGCGAAACCCAAGAAAAGATGTGCTGTGTACTTGGCACAGTGTAGTGAAAAAGTGGGGTGCACAGTGTGCATAGTGACCAGGACACCATGGCAGCGCAGATGTACTCGTGCTGAAACTATGATGCAACAAATGTAGCGCTTACACAAAAAGACCGACTACACCCAACTTCCAGGAGGAGGCCCCACTTCTAAAGCACGTACATGTTTAGGTATAGGAAAAGTTGTTTCTGTACTTAACTAATTAGCACTACGCCATGAAGGCGTATGGGGGAGTGGATGTATAGATCCACGTTATCTTGACCGCGGCACTAGCTGAAGATCAGTAGTCAGCTTCAGGCCACGGCCGCTTTACCCCCGGGGGAAAGAGCTCCAGGTACCCATTAGATAGGAAGTTGGGTGGACTCCAGATCCGGTCTGGACGACGTGGAGAAGAGAAAATCCTTGACCCTACCAGGGCTTGAACTCCGGCCACTCGGTCGTCCAGCCGTATTCAGTCGCTATACCGACTACGCTATCCCGGTTCCTCGTACAAAAATATTGGTTGTAGATCTGATGAGACCTCAAGTCAAGAATGACTGTGCTGGCAAAAGCCAGCAGCAATTGAACCGACCAACTGAAGTTACTATTCGTAATATCATATTTAAGTATCCTGTTGCAGGGAAGTATCACTCACGCTTTCTCTTCTGTCTGTAATGCAACATACTCTTTTTATTTAGATGGCACTAAACTTACATTCAACACTTTAAAATGTCTGATAAGATGTTCTTCAGATGTCATTAAAATGTATTCTATGTATGGCTACAAGTTTCGGCCTCACAGGGACATATTCAGGCAACATATTAACATACATACATATTACGAAAACTCAGAAAGGCCAGTGGAAAATATATATATTGTGGGAGCCGCACACATTAAAACAAGCGTTGTAACGACAACCCACTTATTGCATAATTATCGCTAGAAATATTTCACTGCTATGCAATGAAGGCCCCTACACGGTCGGAGCGAAAGAAGGACCCTATCGAGAGGAGGCGCAGTAATAATAAAAAAATCCCGCGTGGAGGCGGGGTCTAATACTTCTACCGTAGCCGTGGGAGTCGTAGGAGGCGACGAAAATAGAAGTGTCGAATCTGAGGCAGTAAAATATGGTCACGAGTACCAAGGGACTCGGACCCGAAATTGACTGCGCTGGCGAGGACCAGCTGCAGTTGTAATCGACAGACCCTTCTTCTCGTCAGAGTGTCCCACACGAAAAACCCGCAACTATCTGACAATAATAAAAATCTGGTCTTAAGCCCCAGATGGGTGCTTTATTCCAACACAGACTGGCCGACTGACCGTCGGTCGCAACATAAGACTGAGACTCAGACGCGGAGGAGGTGGGGTCGAATACCTCCACCGTAGCCCTGCGAGTCGTAGGAGGCGACGAAAAGGGAAGTTTCGAAACTGAGACAGTAAAATATGGTCATCAGTCCCACGCAACTCAGGCCCGAGAATAACTGCTCTGGCAAGGGCCAGCAGCAATTGTAAACGACAGACTCGTCCTCTCGTCAGAGAGAGCGCTCCGCATGAACAAACCCGCCAACTGACCGACAGTAATAAGAATCTGATCGTAAGCACAAGATGGGTGTTTTATTCCAAGACAGATTGGCCGACTGACCGTCTTGGGGGATATAAATACGGGAACCTGGCCCTCCAGGTTGCGAGAGTCTCGTAAATCTGAGACAGCAAAATGTGCTCATGAGTCCTGTGGGACTCGGACCTGAGAATGACTGCGCTGGCGAGGACCTGCATTAATTGTAAACGACAGACCCACCCTCTCGTCAAACAGGATGTTAATAAGGATTACAACCGCAAATATTTAGTTCGAAAATAAAAATTCTGGTCGGGAGGGACTTATCGCCAAGATGAACTGATTGGCGGTAAACCGCCAGTAGTAAAATAACTTTGACTTGAGAGAATCAGTCTTCTTCAATCAGCCTACCTGCAATCGGAAACCTGCAGCCTTCAATTCTTCAACTGAAGTTCGTTTGTATATTCTGTATAACGACAATATATATTTGTAAAGAAGTGGTGGTCTCTTCAAGTAACGACAATCCCACAATACTTGGACTTTACCAAACCTCGGTTTCCTAACATCCATTTCAAAATTATCCTCCCATCACCACCCCTGTCGTCTATGTATTCAAGAATATTCCATTTCAAAATGCATTTTTTTTCCTCCCTTACAAGCTACATGTCCAATCTATCATAACTATAATTAAGTTAATCTATTGGCGCTAGAGTAGAACCCACGTGATTAACTGATCCTCCATCCCTTCCCCCCATTCAAACCCCTTTTTTTGAATAGGTCATTAGACGTCGAGATTAGGGGCTTGACTGAATTACGAATTTTCGTCCCTCCCACTTAACAGAAGAGCCGGGATAGCTCAGTTGGTACAGCGACTGGCTACCGGCTGGACGACCGAGAGGTTGGAGTTCGAGTCCCCGTAGAATCAAGAATTTTCACTTCTCCATGGAGTTCAGACCGCCTCTGTGGTCCACCCAACCTCTTATCCAATGGGTACGGGGGGCTCTTTCTCCCGGGGTTAAAGCGGCCAGTTCGTGAAGTCGATCACTCACCACCAAACTAGTACCGAAGTCAAGAAAACGTGGGTCTATACAGCCACTCCCCCATACGTCTTCTTGGCGTAGTACTTAATCAGTTAAGTATAGGGACAACTTTACCTTTTTCCCCCCAACTTGAACAGTATTTTCAATTCTTCTCGATCACCACCTCCCCCGCCCTCTTTCACTTTTTTGAAAGTTCTTCCCGCCGTCTCGCCGATCACGAACCGCGGTAATATGGCTGTGCTTGAACTCTAATCTGACGTGAGGGACGTGAGGCTAGGAATAGTAGTTTCGATACCTCCGGCAGAGCGCGTGGAGTTCGTTCGGCAGGCGTGTTTGGGTCGTGCGGTTCCTGCCAAAGAGAAACGCTAGAGTTGTAGCGGTTGTAGCAGCTGCATAGCATTTGTGCTGTGACCGTGGCGGAGGAAGGTATTGTGGTAACTGTGAAGGCAGCTAGCTGATTGAGGTGTGAACACGTGTGGTTAAGCGTGACATTTTTGTGACGCTTTTGAAGTACAAGCAGCTTTAGCGAGGTGCACAGTTTATAACTATTCTTCTAATAATAAAACTGCGGCTCACTCGTTACAGTTTTCTTGTGGTAATAAGTGGGAGCATTGCATTGAAGCTGTCAACACAACTTTGTGTTTTCAGCTATAACTGTTGAAACCTTCTTGGAGAATGGATTTGTTGTGCGCTGAAAGGCTGGCAGATTGCAGATTAGCAGAAAGGGATCGTGTTATATTCGAAGACATGAGAGTTTTGCAAAATTTGTTGGATTTGGAGACATCGTACATACCTACCTGCAATTATTTTGGCACTGTTCAGAAGGACATTCAGCCTTTCATGCGGAAAGTTGTGTCAACATGGATGTTGGAGGTAAGTGATTTTCTACAGTATTTGTTGGTACGTGTGTGATATTGAGATTATTTCTGTTACAGAAGGTATTTCACTGTGCAGTGGATATCAAAAATTGCAATAATTAGAGGTAACGTGAAGAATTGCCGTTGAACGCCCATAGAAATGTAAAGTTTGATGTATTACATTTGCGGTAGGATAATAATTCCCTTGGAATATGAAGAGTCAATTGTTAAAATGCTTCTTAAATCGACGAGTGATACCAGTTTTCAAGAAACAGTAGGGAAATGTTAACTGTAATTAGAAATTATATATTATAACACGACAGGATGCATGAAATGAAAACGTTAACTGGTTTGCAATTATTACGAATTTGTACTTTACAGATATTTCTCTCCTGATATGTTGCATTCATAACATTTTGTAAAGATTCATTTAAACATAAATGCTTTACAAGTTGTCTCTGAAATTAGCATAAAGATAATTATGATTCGCCACGTCTAAACGAAATTAATTCGTGGCGAATTATGAAAAATGGTGCCGGCTACAGAAATAAGAATTTGAAATCGAATATTTTACATCTGTTCCATAGTGCCATGATGACATGAATGGGTATCATGTATCATTCGTTATATATATGAACGACGAAAGTCTGTGAACTCCAGTTTATAACAATTGATCCAGTAGTAGGACTTAAGAATTTCGTTAATTTGGTCTATGTCATTATTTCCTTAAGTAACTACATGGAGCAGAGCTCTTGAGAAACCAATTGCTCAGCCATTCAAGTTCCAAGCATTTTTATGGAACCCGAATGTTCATTATTGTGTTCACAAGAGTCTGCTGCATTGGTCCTAATCCTGAGCCGGATGAAACCTAACCTTACCATCCAATCCTATTTTTAGTAGATCCATCCATCGATGTCCTAGTTATCTCTTTCCTTTAGGATTTCGTACCAGAACTTTGTAAGCATTTGTCGTCTCTTCCATGAATGCTCATTTCATGCTGTTTGATTTTATACTATTTGTGTTGCATAAGAGCACGAGTTGAAGTTATCTCCAGCTGGCTATCAGTTCATCCCTCTTGGTTCCAAATATTTGTTTCGGCATTTGTTCTGAAACACTCACCCGTCATTCTTCCCTTTGTGTGAGAGACCAAGTTTCTCAAATATATACAAATCCACGATTTCATGTACACATTGATCCTATATTATTGTCGGTGTTTTCGTTTATAGGCCACGGAAACCCCGACAATAATTTAGAATCATTATGTATTTTAAATCAACACGTTTTTAAATAGCAGGCGAGAAGACTAAGATTGACCTGAATGTGCGGATACAGTCATTAGTACAGAATTTAGTCATGAATTCAGTTTTTATTTCTTAGCATCTGTACACAACTATAATTTTGCCCGTGGTTCTGTATGGGTGTGAAACTTGGTCTCTTACATTAAGGGAGGAACATGGAATAAGGGTGTTTGAATATTTGGACCGAAGAGGGGTGAAGTGGCAGGAGGATGGAGAAAACTGCATAATGAGGCACTTCATAGCTTGTACTCTTCTGCAAGAATAAGTGATCAAGTCAAGGGGAATGAGATGGGCAGGGCATGTAGCACGAAAGGGGGAAAAGAGGAATGCATAAAAGATATTGGTGGGAAAGCCAGAAGGAAAGANGGGTGTTTGAATATTTGGACCGAAGAGGGGTGAAGTGGCAGGAGGATGGAGAAAACTGCATAATGAGGCACTTCATAGCTTGTACTCTTCTGCAAGAATAAGTGATCAAGTCAAGGGGAATGAGATGGGCAGGGCATGTAGCACGAAAGGGGGAAAAGAGGAATGCATAAAAGATATTGGTGGGAAAGCCAGAAGGAAAGAGACCACTGGGAAGACCAAGGCGTAGGTGGGTGGTCAATATTAATATGGATCTTAGATAGGATGGGATGGTATGGATTGGATTGATCTGGCTCAGGATAGGGACTAGTAGAGACCTCTTGTGAACACGGTAATGAACCTTCGTGTTCCATAAAACGCTGGGAAATTCTTGAGTAGCTGCAGATTTGGCTTCTCAAGAAGGGCTCAGCTCCATAAGTAAATAAGCAAGCTTCGTTCCTAAATATTTTAATTTTACGACTCTTTCCGAGGATCTTTTACCTGATTTATTGTAATTTTGTTGTTTGTGTTGGTGAGGAGACGTCTGGGCTTACTTCTGGACCAACCTCCTCACTAGCGTTTGTTAGGGCATCTCTGGTTTTATGTCCCCCCTCCCAAAAAAAAAATTAATGTCAGCAATCAGCTTCAGTTCTGGCTGGCTTTCTTGGACCTTCGTAATGGCATATTGTGAAGTAATGGTGATGAAGGATCTCCTTTGGTCCAGACCATTCTGAATATGAAACATTAGACAAATTTTTACCAATACTGCCTTTATTGTAGGATTCATTTAAACATAATGTCACGTGAGATAGTGTGTGACTGTCGACGAAGCTTGGATTGGAGATAGGTTTTATTGACCATTTAACACAACTCGTAACTACGCTTAATTATAGCGCCATGGCTAATCTCCATGCTTTACAAATCAGTACAGCACTGCATGTACTGTCTTCACTATCGCTCCCTGGTAACGGCTTCTAACAGTGGAGATTCTTCAGCTTTCGCGCTCACTTCGTTGCTGACTGAACCGACTGAGTCTTCTCTTCACAAACTCCCTTACAACTGTCTGAATTCTTGCACCAGTTGCCCCCTTTATAACATCTTGGCACTAACCGCGTAGAGAACACTTTTCGTTGTTGTACTTAAGTCGTTTCCGTTTAAAAGTGTTTGTTTGTGAAGGCGTTACTCAGTAACGGCTGCGTATATATGTATATTAAGAAACTGTTGCCTAGCAGCGGATGTTAGTTATTTCCCTGCTTGTTTCCAGGTCGTTATCCAGTAACGTGTCCACATGCTACAATATTCTAAGTAATCTGATTAGTTAATGGGCACACCAGACTCATTAAGAATGTTATACAGTACTTCCCTCCTAACTGAATCAGTGGCGTTCTTGAAATTTGTTAATAGCTTATGTATTATCCCATTTTACTCCCCATGGGAGAAACATAGTGGATCAGGTGTTCTCTGAAAAGCCGGAATAGCACAGTAGATGGAGCGACGGGCTACAGGCTGGAAGGCCGGAGTTCGGTTCCCAGCATGTGTAAGAGATTTTTGTTTCCACATTGGCCAGACCGGCTTTGCTGAGGCCCACCCAGGCTCCTGTCCAATGAGGACCGGAGAATCGTTCTTAGGGGTAAAGTGGCCGGGGCATGAAGCTGGTCACTCACCTCCATCTAGTGCCGAAGTGAAAATGGTGGAGCTATACTTCCATTCCCCATACGTCTTCATGACGCGGTGCTTAATCAACAAAGTACAGGGACAGCTTTACCTAGTTGATAACGGTGATATGCTTCTGTAATATACAAGGAGGTTCTTACCTTTGTTGCCCGGTTCACGGCGACCGGTGCAACGCCGGCTGAGAGGCGCGTATGAATTTTGCCGATGAACCAATATGCCTGTTGGCAGATAATATAGTTCACAGATCACAGGTAGTGTTGAAAATGCTGCCCTTCAACACGTAGACATTTCTCGCATCGGCGGAAGAGGTTATGATTTACCATTCATAGCTGTTCAGCGGGAATATTTGCAATTTCCCAGCGAATATTTTTATTTTAGTTCTTGCGTTCGGGGGCTTAATGTTGTGAACTTTGTCTTCCGAACAATTCCAGGAAAAATCACAAGGAATGTGCTGGCCAAATATCACTTCTGCCAATTCTGTCCCCGAAGACATCGGTCAAAGCCTGCGTATATATAGGTTCAGTATGGACAGTAGCCGAGTCTGGCTGAAACCAGCCATAGAGTCCTTCCTCCTCCTCCTGTTAACTCCGGAAAGAATTGCTCTAGAATGATCTGTACCTATCGTTCGTAATTGTTTCATTGAAGAACACAGGTGCAGAGATCCGTCTAGCACTTACAGCACACCACACACTGACTTTCACAGGATGGAGGAGAACTTCTTGGGTTAGATGTGGGTTCTGTGAACTCTAGTAACGATTATTTTGCGTATTCATGTATCCAAAGATGTCAAACCACGCTTCATCACAAAAGATTGCCAGTTGCGGATGGATCTCACAAAATCTACAATAGACTGTAGAAACCATCTGCAGAAGTGAACCCTGCTAGGCGAATCACGTGGCCGCAAGACGTGGATTACTGTTAGCAGTAGTTTCCCTTCCACATTCCAGTCTCTTGAGATGGATGTTTCAGTGATTTTTCGGGCGTATGTCCACATCTGCTTCGTATGTCGTTCAAGGTTTCCTCAGTAAGCACTCTATGCATATGTTTTTCTTTCTAGTGTATTAAAGGGTCCAGCTGAACTAAATTTATTCAAATTGTGAATTGTTTGTCTGCTGAGGACTCTTTCATCACGAAATTTTCCACATTTTTTTAACAGAGCCATGTTTCATGTAGGTGCTATACAGAAATACACGTTGCTCTGAAGTATACTATACCGTAACACTACTTGTAACAGAACAAACGGCTAATGGAGCTGATAAGTGTCGCCCATTGCTGACAAATCATAAACAAAATTCCCCAAGCATGAATCACGCTGCTCTCCGTGATACAAAATGCCGTCAAGCGATCCACAGAGTTAATAACCTCCGTTAATTCTGAATGTTATCGGCCATCCGGCATACTGATTCATCGATAAAATTCATATGCGCCACGCACCGGTCGCCGTGAAGCTCAGAGCCCTGAATCGATCAAGAAAATTAAACTGTCTGTACATATCCCGGAGGCAAAGCTGCCAGAACGCGTAACGTTCATGTATAGTCTATTCAGGATGTGTATGGAGCAAAAGTAAACATAGATGAGGACCAGGGACAGACAAGCGCATTCGTGGTTTACAGTCACACGACGGCCCCAAACATTTTCCATTATATATCAAATTCGATTACGTGTAACGTTCATCACAGGTGGAAACTGATCTCAAAAGTACTTTCTCGGCCCTTGTTCAGGAGGAAGTCAGTATGATACAACAGTCAGAATTCCAAAAATGAACCGGCCTCAAAGTATCGAAACTTCGGTTAGTCTGAGAGTATCTTCACGCTACAAGAGAACTATCTTAATAGTTCCAATAAATTTAACTCACAAAAGTGCTCGTGATTTGTATTCAGTAGTCCTTTAGACCGTCAGCGAACGGTATCATATTGACTTCCTGTTGGTCGAGGGCCGGAGAAGTATCAACAGATGTGATTCCTGCCATAATGAATATTACTCAAAATGGAATATATATATGTGTGTGTGTGTGTGTGTGTGTGTGCATTGTGCGCGCGCGGACACACGTCACTTGCCTACTTTGAACCTCGTCTTTGTTTACTTCCGCTCCATACCCATCCTGAACAGAGTATAGTATCAAAGTCTAACAAGCGTGGAGCATTGCGACCACACCCCAATACGCCTTGAAGGTGTGGTGCTTTGGCATTTCATTTGCCAAGTATCTGTAATGTTAATAAATAAATATGAATGACAATGAGCTTGCCATGTAGCAAGCATGAAGGAAACACAAATTGCTTAGAGAATGTTGATAGGTAAACTTCAGAGGAAGAGTCAGGCTTCAGAGACCTTGAGACCTTGGTATAGATGTGACGATAATAGTAACAAGGATTTTAGAAGTGTGTGAGATGAGGTTCGCCTGGTTATTGGTAGTGGTTGTGTACAAGCTGAGAATTTCTTGACCTGAAACCGTAAGATACACAGTAGTGTAAACAAATTCCATTAACCCAAGGACTGCTGTGTAATTATATGTTACATCGTTTACAAGTGGATACTGAAAATTTTTTTTTCAGACTGCAGGGTTTCCCTAAGATTAAATTTCACTGTGCCTTAATCAAAATTGTGCTTACAATTAATAGTTTACTCTCATCTGATCTTAATATTCAGCCCATCTCACCATTGTTTAATTACATTACCACTACAGATTTTCACTTAAAAATTAGATGAAAAGAGTATCTGTAATTGTCATCACCCCAAAACGTTAATCCTAACCCCTGCACCGAATATTCATAACTTGCATTCCGCATTTCGGTGCGCTTTGGGCTACCTAATGGTCATTTCCCATTAGGCTTTCTAGCCAGAGTGTTATGTGCCTTGCTTGTTACCCTCGTGCTCATTGGCCAGCCTCTCACAGTCTTATTCAGAGCACTACATGGAGAATTCATCTTTATTATTCCCAAATTGTTACATATTTATGAGGTTTATCGATATCCTAAATGGTTCGTTTTCAGACACCGTCGTTCAATACTTTCCTATAGTGAGAAACGTAGCACATACGAATTTAACAATTGTTGCTCTCTCCGGAAGTGACGTAGTAGATATTTTACACAATTCTGACACGTAAACTTTGGTGGTCATATGCCCTGTCAATTTGTCAGGAAATCGAAAGATACTTCATTTACTGGCAAAATGTGGGGTATATACAAGAAAGTACACGAAATAAGAAAACGGAGGGCTAATTGGATTGGTCATATCTTACGCAGTATCTGCCTTCTAAAAGAAGTTATTGAAGGAAAGATAGAGGGGCGGATAGAAGTGACAAGAAGACGAGGAAGAAGATGCTGGATGACCTTGGGGACAGAAGAGGATACTGTCATTTGAAGGAGAAAGCTCTAGATCGCATCAAGTGGAGGAACTGTTTTGGAAGAGACTGTGGACCTGTCGTCTGACAGATTACTGATGATGATGATACAAAGAAGTTATATGAGAGCCAGAGAAATCGTTAGTCTTTGAGGCTGAAGTTCATTAGATATTAACGTGATTGATTTGTTCTCGCATATTCGGACACGGCATAAGCGACAAACCAGTAAACTATACACATTAGTTTTTCTGTTCTCTTTCACCCCGGTAAATCGTTGATCCAACACCATGAGGTGATGTTATTTGCGGCCGACGCATAAATCCCTAGCCCCATGTTGTTATGCTATTGTATTTGACCTGTGCGGTAAGCAGTCATGACTCAGTCGTTTTATTTCCTGTGTCAAAAGGCCGCGTGTGAATTACACATTCGAACAACGAGCTATCGTCTACGATATATGAAAATTGGCTGTGCAAGAAAACTAAGAAATCGATTCCGGAGAAGTGTCAAGGTTGTTATAGTTCCAAAGAGAATAATAAACTATATGCACGTAAATAAATGTAGGCAGGCATGTTATTGGACCAGAACGAACCGAATTCTCCCTGAAGAAATACTGAATGATATAGACGCTATGCTGAAACGTTCTCCAAAAACTTGTCTTAGACGCACTGCACAGAAGACTAATGTTACAGGTTTCAAATTTCAAATTTGCCCTGTCTGCAAGAAAGGGGCTTCAACGCGTTAATTTGAACATTTTATGGAGGCGCGAAAAATGCGTGCATTGACAGTGATCTCCGTGGATTTTGAATGCGAGTTCTTGGTCTAGGGACTTGTCGATTATACCTCGGGTATGAACAGACGTGGAAGTCGTTCCTCTCATGCTGGACCAGCCGAACGATTTCCAGCATACCGTCAAAGTCTCCGTGTAATTGCTTCTGCCGAACTCACCAGAACGTGATTACTTACCGCTCTGGTAGCCCATGTTGAGTGCTATAATGTGACTTTGTTTTATACTAGGTGTGTGAGGATCAGCACTGTGAAGACCAGGTATTTCCACTGGCGGTGAATTTCCTGGATCGATTCCTGTGCGCATGTGCCATATCTCGCCGCCAGCTTCAGCTCTTGGCCGCAGTGTGCCTGTTGCTGGCCTCGAAGATCAGACAGGGCCGTTCGTTATCCGTGGATCATCTGTGCTTCTACACAGACCATAGCATATCACCAGATGATATGAGGGTAAGAGTTCTCTGTATATCCATTTAGTAGCATGCTTCACCACTTAACCAAACTTTATAAAGCAAGGCCTTTGTGAGCAGTAGATGCAGTTGACAAGCCGAAGGAGCAGACGCGGGAACTGCGAAGGCAGTCTGTGCTGATGTATGAACCTTGTATAGCTGAATTGAAACTTTTGTATCAGTTTACAAACAGGAACTCCGTGGAGCTTACCAACATGAGAAGCCAGTAGTTGCCTGGCTACTCATGAGATTTCTTGCACTTTACGGAATCCGAAGTTTCATTCACACAACAGGACCCTATGCTCAGCTACGTTAATCCCGTCCATGCACGCCATCTTATTTCTATAAGATCCATCGTAACACCAACCTTCCATCTGCTCCTAGTCCTCTTTAAGTTATCTTCTTACGTTCAGGTTTTACAAGCAAAATTTCGTATGCATTCCTCATTTTCCCTAAACCCATCCGTTTTGTTCTTGATTTAACCATTCTAATGGCCGCGCCATAGCTCAAGAGGTTAGTCGCTGACTTCCTACCGCGGCTGCCCGGTTTCGATCCCGGGTCTGGTCAAGCGGGAATTTGTGATGGACAAAGTGGCGTGGCGCTGGTGCAGGTTCTCTCCGAGTACTTCGGTTTCCCCTTCCAATCTTCATTCCACCAATTGCTCCACAATCACCTTCACCTATCATCTGGGGCTGGTACAATAGGCCAGAAGTGGCCGCAGTACAAGGGACTTAGTCCCACCCCACTAGCAAAAGAACATTCTAATGATAACTCGTTAACGCTGCAAACTGTTAACTTCCTCAGGATATAACCAATTGGCTGGATTTTTGGTAACTTCTGAACTTTCGACATCCGTTAAGATCAGTTTACTCATAGCTATGAACTTATTGACTGCCCAGAAAGTTAAGGAATGTGGGTTAAAGGGGCGGATTTTAATTCAGAGGGGATATGGTGCATGGATTTGTAGGTGTGCCATTAATTTTTGTAGTGCATACATCCTAATTATGTTCTCAAAACAACATCATTTTGAAAGAGTGAAGTGGGGGGGTGAAACTCCCCGCTTATAGGTCTTGACACCAGGTAGATGTGAGCACGTTCGGCCGTCAGAATCTCCAAAGGAAGCGCCCCCACACGACAATTGCATTTACAGGTAGATGGGTCCCAGGGCCGGTCTGGACAGAGGCAGGACCTTCAAACGAAACGGGATCGTGTTGCGAGCAGTAGCATGAGGGGGGGGGGACTGCCGAGGGTTAACGCTGACCGTTACCACTGCTTACCGTAAAAAGGAGACATAGACTTGCCATATTTATAAGAAATTTTCGAAGTGGCTATCAGCCGTGTCAGTTGGTTAAAATTAGCAACGTTTCTTGGGCAATATTCTGTCCCCATAAGGTTCTGATATCAGACCCAGATGGGACAGAGATGGTCTCTGTAACGTCAGAAATTTTTAATCAGTTGACACTGCCCATAACCCGAGAAAATTGTATCAATTTCAGGAATTATTGGAGTGGCTGGAAAAGTAGAAAAATCCTCAGTCGCGGGAGCCAGTTTTCGAGTCAAGAATGAAACGAAGAAGTCCACAAATTCGGAGCAGTAGTTCTAACTAGCCAGCCCTGACATTTGGTAGAATTCGTAGAATAATTTAATATTTTAATCAAAAGCATTGGCGATACTATGGAAGGCAGGCAAGAGGTTGAGCACTGGGCCAGAACAAGTGGCTTTGGCTAATATTGTAAGGTGTGCATACCGTCAAGCACTCCGCATTTTCTTCGAAAGCGTTTCGTGTCTGTGTGCAGTCTCTTGGCGCCGGCTGCTAATTATGTTAGTGGGACTCAGGTTGTGTTGCTTACTACACGTAAATATTCTGCCAACTGTCTCCTGGCCGTAATAGCCATGTCTCAAATTTTGTGTTACATTCATTGTATCCCATTTCGTTTGTTTATTAGTCTGAAGGAAAAATGTAGGTTCTGCTCTTTGTGGTTTTCTGCTGCAAAGGATTTCGTGCCTTTACAGTTATAGACTTTCTAGTACAGAGGGTAAATGGACAGTGGATTGTGGGTAATTTAACGGCGCCATATCGGTAAGGTGTGAGCGGAGAAGTTCATGGAGGTAGGCCTAGGCCCAGTGGGGCTGTAGTGCCAAGGGAAAAAAAATCAGTAAGGTAAATTTGTGCCGCGAGGACGGGAGGGAGTGGAGGCATAGCTCCGCCATTCTTGACCTCGGAACTAGGTGAAGGTAGCGGTCAGTTTCACGTCCTGGCCGCTTTACCCCTGGGGAAAGACCCCCCCGATACCCATTGGATAGGAGGCTGGGTGGGCTCCAGAGCCGGTCTGGCTACGTTTTCTTTTTGTGGTTCTTCTCGGTCAATCCAGTCATATGCTGAGAAGGTGTAGGAGAGAGAGCCTCTTCCAGAAAGGGATATTGTAGACATCAATTTACTGCGTCACACTCAGGACGGAGGAAGTAAAGTAATGAATGAAGTGGAGGAAGATTCCTTTTGTGTGCCTACCTGTTTTTTTTTTACGTGTTTTGGAACTGCGTAAAATATTAAAGTTGAAAAACCGGTAACAGGATTTAAGGTCGCTGGGCACCAAAAGGAAGCGCATGACGATTGTCTTTCCGTCTGAAGTCCCTTTATTTCCTCTTTCACCACGAACCATGTATCCTAGGAAGTATGTAATGTGATGGGAAGACGTTTGCTCAAAAAAAACCTATGACGAGGCACGAGCTCAAACCTAGTAAAGCACTGTTCATTATAATGTGCTGGCAGGTGGAAACGAATTCGTAGGACAATGGTTTCAACTTGAAGATGACGATGACCTGAATGATTCTGTTGATGACCCCCGGATGTAATAGAGAGGCCGTGTTTTGTTACTGGCTGGATATGCCTTATTAAGATACGAAATGACTTCACATCCTTAGACTCAGAAGCATAACTGGTGCATCACCATACAGAGGAACTCACTGTAAAGGGTTGGCGTCATTTCCGTTCAGTCCCATGCATCCGTTTTTGCATTTTTGAATCATGTATGACTGTCTTGCTTTTTAAACCAGTGCTCAAGAAACGTTTTCTAAACTAGACTCAAATAATAATAATCAGCAACAACCAACCAACAGCACCCATATAATTTTGGTTTTAAAATATGACCCTGAATAAATTACAAGCCTTCAGGAAGGTTCTTAACTTTGTTGACCGGTTCACGGCTCTGCGCTTCACGGCGACCGGTGCAACGCCGGCTGCGAGGCGCTTACGAATTTTGCCGACGAATCAATATGTCTGTTGGGCGATAGCGTTCGGAATGAAGTAGTTACAGTTCACAGCTCATAGGAGGTGTTGACAGTCGTGTCCTTCTGCACTTAGACGTTCCTCGCACCGGCAGAAGAGGTTGTGATATGCCCTTTGAAGCTGTTCTGCAGAAATATTTGCAATACCCCAGACGGGGTATCCGTTCCTTGACATTGTAGTTCCGTTCAAGGGGTATGTGTCTCTTGAGGTTGTAGTTCCGTTGACGGGGTATCTGTTTCTTGAGGTTGTAGTTCGTTCACGGGGTATCTGTTTCTTGAGGTTGTAGTTCCGTTCACGGGGTATCTGTTTCTTGAGGTTGTAGTTCCGTTCACGGGGTATCTGTTTCTTGAGGTTGTAGTTCCGTTCACGGGGTTTCTGTTTCTTGAGGTTGTAGTTCCGTGCAGAGGTTATCTATTTCTTGAGATAGTTCCGTTCACGGGCTATCTTTTTCTTGAGGTTGTAGTTCCGTTCCCGGGGTATCTGTTTCTTAAGGTTTTATAAGGCAGTCGGAAATCAAGAAAACGTCCTACTAGAGAACACGTGCGCTGATACATTTTTAAATGTTTGTTGTTACTGGGACAGCGATTGGTGATTAGTCGTGATAAATGGGTTCTATCACCTTCGCTGCAACTTATTATGAATTTGGTGGTCTACTTACCGCATATGATATCTTTCCCATATCCATATCCACTGCATAGAAACGTAAACAAAATGTGTAGTTACACAAATGTGTAGTGGCATAATATCCCACCGGAAGCTGCGGTCTTCGAAGGTGAATCGGGACCCTGTATGCACTGGAGGACCTATTAGTGTGCTTTGTTTACACCGTGGGAATCAGTTGTAAAGATTCCTAATATAACATTGCTCGTCTTTTGCTCGTCCGGGAAATTTTCAATAGCCTGATGGTTAATATACATGCATAACGCCCTCCTCCTATTTAATGTTCAGTTAACTTTGTAGGCGACTTAAGCCACGTCATTTCCGGTGACTTGTGACTTCTTTTCACTCATTTAGTCTACCCTCCCTCGTATCGGTCGTGGGTCTGTCAAGACCTCCTCTGATATATACTCATATCCGGTAAAGTCTATCGCAATAATGATGATGATTTTACTTTAAGGGTAGAGACATCAGCCTTTCTGTATCTAGTACTGTACCCTAACTGTAGTCAGGTGGAGCCGGTGAAGCTCAGTCGGTATAGCGACGGCTTACGGACTGGATTGCCGAGGTTCGATTCCCGGCAGGGGCAAGAGCTATTTCTCTACTTCACAGCGTTCACACCGGCTCTGGGGCCTATCCAGCCTCCTTTCCATTGGGTACCGGTGGTTATTTATCCGCGATTAAAGCGGCCGGTCGTGAAGCTGACCACTCCCATCTGGTGCCGAAGTCAGGAATGGTGGAGTTGTACCTCCGCTTCCCCATATGTCTTCATCAGGGACAGCTTTACTTTAACTGTAGTCCGGTTGAATGAGGTCAGTGCTGGTTGGACGTGTGTTGTGAAACATAGTGGGGAAGCCCGAGAAATAAGACGAGATATTTTTGTGAGAATACTTTCAGCCGTAACCCCCTCCCCAGACATTTCGCGGCAGTGAAGGCACGTATTTATAATATTCCTCAACATAATGTTGTCTGTTGAGGGATTTTCTTTATTGCTAGTGGGGTGGGACTAAGTCCCTTGCACTGCAGCCACTTCTGGCCTATTGTACCAGCCCCAGATG